TTTTTTCCTGGCTGAGCGCTGCACCTTTGATGTGGTGGAAAAGCGTCTTGAATGGAGATAATACTTGATGTATTTGATGGTTAACGTGTGTTTTCTGTGGAGCATCATACAGGGCTGCAGCTTATTTGTAACGCCTGTAAAGATTGCATGTTGACACAAACAGGATGCACACTTTCAGGCCAAGGCTCCTTTTTAAAATAGTATTTCACACTTGTATCGTGTTGTATTTGATAGGCCTACTGATGCCCTTAGATGATGTTTTTTTCTTTTGGCTGACAAAACCACAGTTAAACACATCCATGCTTTAGATTTTCACTCTCCATTCGGATTTTCTTGTGAAAATGGGTTTTAGGAATACAAAAAAAAGAGTCTTCATATAAAATAGTCCCTTCACATGTGAGTGACGCCAAACAGTCAGAAAGTAGGACACGGTAAATGTTCACTCTGAAATCACTGATATCGTGCTATCTCAGTAAAAAAAATATTAGCCTGCAGTTAGCCCCTGAGCTTTTCCAAAATGTGATTTAATCTCAGAGGCGCTCTAACCTCAGTGGCGCTCCTGTTCAAACATTAAATAAAAGCGCTGCACAGCCAACACTGACGGCGATACAGGGAATCAAGTGTTTAAAATGTTACACCTCATCCAGTGATAATGCGTGAAAGAGGGCTGATGCCACCGTGACATTTTCTTCTTATCTTACTTTGTTAAAAAAATGCTGTATATGGCACAGTCTGATGTTTCTTGTTATATATAAAAAAAAAATTACAACACGGGCAACCAGGTGTGTTTTGTGTGTTATAGAGGCCCGGGGAAGGTGGTCCCGTCCTTTCATCCACCCGTCTATCTACCCATCCGTCCGTTCATCCATCCATCCATCTCCCCTTCTGTTGCTCGCGTGCAGAGTCTGGCTGTCGCAGCTCGAGGATATTTGGACTGCAACAGGTGGTAAGCGCGCCCCTCTGCTATTTTTTATTTTTTTGCCCCCGTTTAAAAAAAACAAAAAAAAAAAAAAACAACTCCCAGATGTTATCTATGATAACCTGGCGTGTGTGCGCGCGTGTCGAGCTCGGGCTCTTTCTAGTGGTCTTTATCAAATCATTGAAGTGTTGCATTGTGTAAGTGTTGGACTTTTCCCGTTATTTTAGAAGGGACGGTTATTAGTCTACATGTTTCAATAAATAGAGTATAACATATACGATACAATAGGATCTGGATATGAACCGTTTAAACAAGACAAGGCTGTGAAGTAGGCCTCATTTAAAAAATGACAACATGAAATAAATGAATGGAATAAAAAACAAAATGAAGACACTATTAGTCCACAGTGCGAATTCAAAGTTAGGTGCGCCTGCAGTTTATACTGGCCGCTTTCCAAATCCTGTTTATTGTTGAGATTATATGATTTTTTAAATTAGGTCAAATGACCCCCCTCCACCCCCCACACACACACACAAACACACACGCAAACAAAACGAGCTTAGTGGCCTGTATTGCCACGAAATCCACTTTCCTTTTTCGCCACGTTGCTGATAATAAGGAGGAGGGGGCATGGCGTCACCCACACATGAAGCGGTCCATTGGTCCTAATGTGTTTCCGTTGCTTAGTTTACTTCGATAGCCGATATTTTTTGGTCCGTGGCAGCCAAGTAATCCAATTGTCATGCAGGAGATCCAATAATACATGTGTAGGCCTGTTTGACTGCACGCTATTAGACTATTTCTGACGTGTATCTCCATTATCATGAAATACAGAAATATAGATATATTAATAATTTATGCATCCTAAATGTATTTTCAGAAACACATGCCTCTTGATTGACAAGTGCTTTTTAAATAAAAACAACAAACCAATATTTTCTGAGGCAGACAGGCATGTATTTAATATTAAAATAGTTGTGTTGTTTTACGCTTTTTCCAATAATGCTCCCGTTATTTTTATGAACGTCAGGTTTTTTTATGGCCACGGGAGTGCAGATTGGGCCTTTTAAAGTACAGACTTTTACACACGTTACTATAATGTGCCTGATGAATGTAGGCTTTTGTCTCACGATGATGCAAGTCAAAGGAAAGGAAAGTTGGCAGAGTGAGCCCATGTTGCTGAGGAAATAAAAGGCATATCAAAAATGATCAACCTAACGATGTTCACGTTTTCTTCTGACACCCAGAAGACTTTTTAAAAGACTGCCCGACATCTCGTCACAGAGGAAGACTGTAAGAATGGGTGAATAGCAAAACTGTCAGAGCAGAGAGCTGCGTGCGTGTGTGTGCGTGCGTGTTTGTGTTTGGAGCGCAGAGGGACTGAATGGCAGCTAGCCTGCTGATCAAGCGCAGGTGCAGGGAAGGGAAGCGGGCGGTGTGTGGAGAGGGCTCCCTCTCTCCCTCTCTCTCTCTCTCTCAC